GATATGTTTCACTAATTGCCCCATGTTATCTAAACTGTTTACAAATAACCCCATACGTTTTCTCTTTATTATTTTAAATTTTTTTTTTTCATTTTCTAATCTCCCACACTGGATTATTGAAGCTGAACAATAGTAGTAAGTAATTTCTGAGTATTTTTAATAGTTATTGGAGTTTTATGTCAGACTTCTGATTCAAATGTAAGCATTCTTTATTTTAACTCTTCGTGGTCTCGTTCTGCTTTAGATTTAGACAAAAAATCTAGATCCAAATATCCAAACTGAAACTAAACTAAAATAGAGGTACCGAATCCGAATCAAAATCTATAAAACTATTTGAATCAAAATCTATAAAACTATTTGATGGTTTCTCGTGGGTTGGATAATATCCAAACTGAACCGATATCCGATTGGATATCCAAATTATCCAAAATATAATTTATATCTAAAAAATTAAATATAGTACGAGATTTTTAATATATTCTTTGGTATTTCATATATATTTTCTTTAGATTTTTTAGTTTTGGATATATTTTTGGGTTTTTTAGTATATATTTTTAGGTTTTTTTCAGATATATTTTTGGATTTTCTGGTGTATTTTCGAATCTATTTTTGGGTTTCAGATTTAAATCAGTTTTTTCGGGTTTAATAAATATCTAAACCAATTAAGATCCAAAAAAATTTAGGTATTTATTGGTTCTTAAATCTTGGAATACTTGAAACCAAATGGTACCAAACTGAAACCGAACTGAAATCTATTGGTTCCTAATGGGTAAAAAAATGGTTATCGGTCTAGAGTAGGTTTCAAACACGAAACCAAGATTAGAGAAGCTGATAATCGAACCAGAGAAGCTAAGGTGGTAATTCGATTATTTGCTGCAGATCTAAACCTATTATCTGTATAAAATGTTAAAAAAAAAAGAATTGGTGCACGATACAGAGTCAGATTTGAACCGGAATCGTGATTAGAGAAGCTGATAAGCGAAACCAATGAAGCTAAAGGTAGTAATTCAATTATTTGCTGCAGATTTAAACTTTTTATTGTATAAATATTTTTTTAAAAATGGTTCTCTATCTAGAGTGAGATTCAAATTTGGGACCGAGATCAAAGAAGTTGATAAGCGAAATCATTGAAGCTAAAGTGATAATTCGATTACTTGCTGCAGATAGAAACCTTTTATCTGTATAAAATGTTTTTTTTTATCAAATCTATATAAAATGTTAAAAAGAAAAAATGGTTCTCGATCCAGAGTGAGATTCAAACCCAGGACCATGATTAGAGAAGCTGATAAGGGAAACCAAGCTAACTCAATTATTTGCTGCAGATCTAAATCTTTTATCTGTATAAAATGTTACAAAAAAAATGGTACTCAGTCCAGAGTGGGAGACTAGGAGTCGAACCCGGAACTGAAATTAAAAAAGTTGATAAATGAAACCAGTGAAGTTAAGGTGATAATTAAATTATTTATTGCAGATCTAAACCTTTTATTCTGTATAAAATGTTTTTAAAAAAATAGTTCTCACAAAAAATAGTTTGGGATTCGAACCCATGACCAAAATTAGAGAAGCTGATAAGCGAAACCAGTGAAGCTAAAGTGATAATTCAATTATTTACAGTAAATCTAAATTTTTTATCTGTATAAAATGTTTTTTTTTAAAAAAAATTTTCTTTGTCTAGAGTGAGCTGATAAGCGAACCAAAAAAGCTAAGGTGGTAATTTGATTATTTGCTGCAGATCTAAAAATTTTTATCATGAGTTTTTTTTAAAAAGAAATTTAAAAACTTTTTTGAGTTGATATTTTAAATTAAAGACGTAGATTTTCATATATATGTATTACCTTATATATAAAAGATGGTCAACTTCTTCTATATGATTGCCACATCAGCATTTGAGTTAATATGCAGATGTGTCATACTTTTTAATTTAAAGTTACAATATTTTTAAAAATTTGATTAATAAATTTTAATATTAAGTTTTAAATCACTCAATAAAAATAAAAAAAAAATTATTAATTGATTCTTAAATAGCATTTATGTAAATATTAAACAAAAATTTATGTTATAATTAATTAAAAATATTGATGGTTTTTTTGTATAAACTCTTGATTTTTAAATAATATTACATTTTAAATTGATTGATTTATAATAATATACTAACACATAACAAATGATGACTATCATAAATATTTATATAACAAATGAGTATATAGTCTAATCCCATCATAAATATTTATATAGAGAGCTGAGGCCAAGTAATGGACGCAGATACCACACACAATGCATATGACGCTCATAATCAGGTGAATAACTTTTGTTGCTTTTGTTGATGCTTCATGGATATCACCAAATCACATGGCTGGAGTGGCTTGGATCCTTTGTGACAAAACAAGCAGAAAAGTTGTGACTGGATCGGGAGATGTTCCTCTTATTCAATCGTCGTTAGAAGCGGAGGCAGAGGCCCTTCGAATGGCTGCTATTAATATAAGAAGGCTTGGATATGTAGGAGTTATATTTTGTGGGGACTTACTAGCATTGTATACACCTCTATAGCAGCAACAAAGCTCGGAAGAATTGCAAGCATGGAATCACTTTCAGATAGGTGTATATTTTCAAGATATTGTAAGCATTTGAAGAGCTTGTGGTTTTTCCTTTTTTTTTTCTTTAAAGATTGATAGGCTTGCCAGTGCTGAAGATGGTCATTTGGCCAAGCAAGCTATATGAACAATGCAAACCATAGATGGGCAACATGGCCAGACACCAGAGCTAGAATTATAAAAATGCTAGTAAACAGAGAATAGGAACAGAATGTAATAGATCGTAAAAGCGTATGGGCCAATAAAATTGGAAGTTATTGAGAACAATAATTTTTGGTATATTTATTAGGACATTACCCTAAATTTAGCTTGATTTTGCAAATAACTTGAACACTTAATTGTGATGTCTTTTTACAAATTCATAATTAAAAAAAAAAAGAATACAATAGTTTCTAAGTTTACAAAGGGATTGACACGACAAATAAAAACATTATCCAAATGGTCTCATGTGAACGAAATTCACGTATGAACAGATTCTGTCTACTCTGATTGGAATCAAGGGCGACAATATAACAATTCTGAAAGCACCGTGCTATTTTCTTACTTCGATCTTGCTTATGGACCAACTTTGATTTTTAATGAGGTTGAAAATGTACATTGTTAGGAAAATAGAACTCGAGTGTGAATTAAATTAACATAAGAACATGTTGTTCCACATAAAATGTTGGTGTTGCTGTTAATATGACTTTTAAGCAATTCATATGGAATCAAAAAAAAATTCCAAGTTTTAGGAAGCTCAATTAGTTTCAAATAATATATACGCTATCCGTTTCAAGTAATAGGAATTTGAACATCACCTAAATTTTGTTTCAAGCATGATAATTGGCGTAAAAGTATATTAGTACAAAAATGTGAAAATGTATATTCGTTTACTAAACATAATAACGAAAATAATAATGCAAAAAAAAAAACATTCAAGCAAATAACCAATACTCTTACAATCAACTACGTAATAAAATCAATACAAATATAAATACAAACCCGTGTATGCTAGCCTAATAATAAAGAGCAATTAGGATCCAATTCGGTGATCCCTGAAAGGCCAATATCAGGCCGAAATTTGCACTGAGGATGGTCTGTTTGATATCAAGGATATAACAGCATGCACTTAAACCAGCAGTTGACAGCAGAAGAACCGTGTTAAACATCCATCACATTGGTCATCAATAGTAAGCCAACAGTTAATAATTTCAATATAAACACCTGAAAATCTAAAGAAATACAACATGTTAATTGGCCTGAAATAAGATTTATCCTACCGAAAATTATTAAGAAGCTGTGAACATAAAGATGAACTATCTATAAACTAATTGTTTCTTTTATGTGCATCTTTACCCAAAGTATATAGCAAGCAATTCTCTAGAAGCTAGAGCTTCTATTTCAGTAGCTTATTATGAACTTACATCCCCATCCCCAGTTATATTTCTTTGGTTCTAATGTGTTTGTTTGTAGTGGTGAGTATGCATGAGCACATATACGTTTTATGTCCGCGTGAATGTCTCTAATTACGAAGTCACCAAAATTTCTAAAAAGAATCGTAAAGCAACCTTATAAAAAGATAAATATAAGGAAAAGGACGAAAGTAATAAATATCAAGGATATAACAGCATGCACTTAAACCAGCAGTTGACAGCAGAAGAAGCGTGTTAAACATCCATCACATTGGTCTTCAATAGTAAGCCAACAGTTAATAATTTCAATATAAACACCTGAAAATCTAAAGAAATACAACAGGTTAATTGGCCTGAAATAAGATTTACCCTACCGAAAATTATTAAGAAGCGGTGAACATAAAGATGAACTATCTATAAACTAATTGTTTCCTTTATGTGCATCTTTACCCAAAGTATATAGCAAGCAATTCTCTAGAAGCTAGAGCTTCTATTTCAGTAGCTTATTATGGACTTACATCCCCATCCCCAGTTATACTTCTTTGGTTTTAATGTGTTTGTTTGTAGTGGTGAGTACGCATGAGCACATATACATTTTATGTCCGCGTGAATGTCTCTAATTACGAAGTCACTAAAATTTTTAAAAAGAATCGTAAAGCAACCTTATAAAAAGATAAATAAAAGGAAAAGGACGAAAGTAATGAGTGAATATGCAACCAACAATTATGAAGAATAATACAAACATATAAAAAGACCCTACTAGAAAAATAAAATAAAAACAACACGGGCATCGAACACTCGACCTTGTCAGTTTCTAGACGCACACTCTACCAACTGATCCAAGATAGAAACCTTGTTTCAACTATTCAATATTAAAACAAAACGCAACGTTTTTTGCAAAAAAAAAATCAAAAGCATCCAAGGAAATAGGACGGATGTGATTGGACGGTTATATTCAAAACGTCGTCGTTTTGAGCAGTATTTACCCTCAGCAAAAAGCGCTGCCTTTTAGTGTCCACGAGCATAAACCCAGGCTTCTCTCCGACTCTCCCACCGTCTTCCCCATTTTCGCCATTTTGTTCCCGAAGTGCTCTCTCTCTGTAAACCGAACAAGAATTCAGGCCTCTAAGTAACAGGAGGACGTGATGTGGGGTAACGCATTTTACGCTTATTGATTGATTGGATTGGATTTTAAAACGTGTTTAGGCGTTAGATTGTATTTAGGGGTAATTTGGGTTTAGGATATTTAGGTGATTAAGGAAGGTTTAAGGGTTTAATGCTTTGGGCTTTAGGTAATGAGGTGGTAATTAAGGGTTTCGGGCTTAAGAATCTGGGCTTTAGGTGTGATTAGGTGTTAAGAGTTACGCATTTTACGCTTATTGATTCGATTGGATTTTACGCTTATTGATTAAATTGGATTTTTTTTTTTTTTGTATTTTTCTGATTGAGGGTTTTTTGTTGATTGTTTACCTTCGTTTATGCAGAGATAATTGTTCCTCCAGGGAGATACGTTAGTGTTGATCCTGGACAAGGAAGAGTCTTGCGAATAACCTATATAGGTTTCAGCAGCGAAGTGACAAATCCTGAGGGTGAGGCTTATCTTGGAATCAACAGTAGCAAGGAAGAGTTTCTTATTGGCCGCATCCCTCAACTCAAAACCAGAGTGAATCTCACTGAAGAGTTCACTCTTGGACACAGTGGCTATTCCCCTGTTGTGTTCAGAGGGTACTATCTTTCTCGCAGGAGGACGCTCTTGCCAGAGCCCAGGCCTCAAACAGACCTTGCTCTTAGAGATGCCCAAGCATCCAACTCTCTGTCATGGCCATTGGGTATCGACAATACCTCCAAAGTAAGTGTAAAAAAATGATATTGATTAATCATTGGGATTATGTTTCAATTTCAGTTGCTTAACTCGTATCTCTTCTTTCTTATCTCAGGTATTCTCGTACCTACGAGGTACCAATGTCCATCGTCTCGAATGTATTTGCAAAATATTCTACACCGCTGGTACATATCCGGAGTCTTACTCAAACATTGATTTGAGTCATGTTGAGATGGCTGAAGATCTTGACGCTCTTGTCATGATGCGACGATGCCATGGTCGACTAAGGTATTTATCTCTCTTTCGGTTGTGTTTGCATTCATTCATTTCCTCTTTGATCCGATCTGACTTCTGTTCATTAGGTCACTTGTGCTAGGTTCAGGGCCAACGATACAGTTCACTCATCGATCTCTGGAGCCTCTGCAGACTATCGGGTAAATCACATTCTCTAAAAATATACAATTTTTTACAAAATTTTCTTTTGGCTAACACTAACTCTTTGTTTCTTTTCTACTACATGTTTCAGGAAACACTTGAGAAGACTCCATCTTCATGGCCTTCATAAGGTACATGAAGAGCATTTGCGTGAGGCTCTACCCTGCTGCTCCGTGCTCACAGAGTTGGAGCTTAATGACTTAGGGTCGGTGTATACTTCTCCTATATGTCTACTATATCTTTTTTACTCATGTATCACGGTGCAAACACATATTCAACACAGATCTCTTCTTCTCTTTCTTCTGATTGATTTTCTTCTCTTTCTTCTTCTTTTCAGGTCTTACCGAGTAGACTTTGTACTGGAGATCGTGGGTTCTTCTTGCCCGCTTCTGGAGCTTCTGATCTACACTGGTGCTGAAGACTCAATATCGACCAGGGAGAACACAGTTAGTGAGCCCAACCTACACAGGTTTCTGCAAAACTGTACTCGGGTGGAGGTTCTGGGTCTACACAGCGTCAATGTAGACGACAACCAGCTTGTTAAGATTCTGCAGCATCTTGGGAGGCTTAGAAGCCTACTCCTGTCGAAATCCATGGGATTTTCAGGAGTTTTCTTCGTTGGGTAAGTGTTTGTATACTAGTTCAGTTTTTTTTACCTCTTATAGAAGATTTCTTCTGATTTTCTTTCTTAATGTGAACAGGGAAGGTGTTAGCAACGGGAATCTTCAAGTGTTGCACCTCGAAGCCTGCATCGATCTCTCAGAAGACTGTCTTGGTGACTTCATCCAGCAGCTGAAGCAGACACTCTTCGAGAACATGGAGGAGCTGGTAAGTTGTGGTTTCTAAAATGGTTTTGAATTTAATTCACGATTGTTTTCACTCATGGTGTTTCATTTTCTTCTTTTTCCATCTCAAAGTTTCTGACAGGTCGTCCGGGATTTGAAGAGAGGATAGGTCTTACTGATCTGATTGATACTAGACCTAACTTAGCAATCCGCACCAGACCACTACACACAGAGTAACCATACTTGTTCTGTTATAGTGTTCTGTTTTATTTTTCATAATTTATACTGCTTATAGTAATTGTGTATACTATATGGACAGTGAGGACGACGACGATGACGAACTGCAACGTTTAGCGCTTGAGCGTGCTAAATCGCTTGTGAGAGATGCTGATTGTCTACATGAAGAGACTTCTGAGGATGAGGATGTGCAGGAGGATGGGCAGGTGGAATGGCAGGTGGAAGGGCAGATCGAGATTATTAGAATCCCGAGGAGGGATCCTGAGGAGGTGGAGTCAGAGGAGGAGGAGCCGCCTGAGGATTTGCATGATGAGGAGGACTACGTTGGGGATGAAGATTATGGTAACTTGAGGTACGACCCATCCAGATTGTCACATGGACCGTATCGTCGGAGAAAACGGTTCATACAGTGGTGAGTGTGAGGGTGACTGATCTAATATTTGCGTTTGATATAATATCTATGTTAGACCAGTTACTTGCTTCTCTTTAACTTTATAATTGTAATGTTCGAGATAATGCAACCAAGTCAAAGAATACAATTAAGTGGACTAATTTTATACCATGATCTTATTACTAGTCACATGAAATGTTCATTTTTGTTGGGTTGTTAAGTATTTTCTGTATTTGAGCTTCCTCTTTCACTAGATTAGATTCCAACATATTAATTTGTCATTTCTTAGAATATGGACATCTCTTGCGTATGGCAATTATAACTATCACTCTCTAACTGATCCCCGCCTCAAATTCTCTTCTCACTCTTTTCTCTCTTTCGTTATATTAAACTAAATGAATACCCACGCATATGCGTGGGTTTTCTTTTAAATATTTTTATAATGTTTTTTCTTTTAAATATTTTTATAATGTTTAAAACTGAAGTTTAGTTTTATCCTTAAGTTTCAGTTTACAATTCTTTCACTATATCACACATTTCACACGTGAAGAATTCGAAGGCAAACATTCTAGCAAGAAGCGCTTGTGTTCACCTACAAATTATTATTTACATAAACTTGATATCTTCGGTTTGGGTAACCAAACCGTTCTAGATATCTAGACTGTCGATAAAAACAAAAAAAAAATTCAATTTAGATTTTTGGTGATGTTAAAAAAAAAATAGATTTTTGGTTTTTTTTTGGACTGGCCATATATATGTTTAGAGAGATTAGTTGTTAACTTGTTTTGTTAAAGTGATTTTGTTTTAATTAGTTTTTTTCTCGACTTTTTCTTTGGTTTTATGAAATCTTGTCATAAATTTTCTCTACTAAGAAACGTTGTCTTCAATTAAACGTGAAAAATTATCTTGAACATCATAAACAAAGATATGAGAATCCAGCAAATACTAAATATTATGATTAGGAACCTAAGAGGTATATTCTCAAAATAAATGGATAATTTTATTCCATAAAATTTTCATATTCTCATTGGCAAAACCGTCACAATCTCCACTAAAAGTAGAAAAGTTAGGAAATGAATATAACATGAAAATCTGTGATATTTCATACTATATATTATCTTTTGCATCACAGGTAGAGTTTGGAACTTTAGATAAGCATGACCAGCTATCGTAAAAGCTTACCAAATACGTCTTTCTCCATTTTCACCATCGGATTTGGCTCTTGCCGCTCCAGTGGCTTTTTATTGCAGTATTTGGGAGAACCAATACTCCAACTCCAAGATCTGATGGAGATAAAACAAGCTACATTTCATGCACATAAAATGATATAAATTATATTTATCTTTTCTCCATAAAGATTTCTTTAATTATAATTCATCAAGACGAGATTTTTATCATTTCTTGTAAAAATATAGATATTAAAAAATTTACTAATGGATGTAATAGATCTTCCAGAGTATTATTTTTCTCCCTTAAAATTTTTTCTAAAACAAAAATAAATAGAATAGATAACTTACACCAGCTTAACTTAAAACAAAGTTTTTAGAAATTATTATTATAGCTTCGTCGCCGAATTATTATTATTTTAGAAATTATTATTATAGCTTTGTCTAGCTATTTAGTCTTCACAGAATTCTCGAAACCATCATACAAAATCTTCTTTTTAAAAGGAAAATTCTTCTTTTCCTTTAAATGAACAGAAACGATGATATTAAATATAGATGTCTCTGCCCATGACCAAGAAATAAATCTTAGACCGTGGATTTGTGAACAACATTTACTTTAGTAAGCTTCTATATAGAAATTTGCATAAGTTACAACGTGGAAGCCGTAAATTAGAGATTTATTAGAAAATCTTAAGTAATATTTACTTCTTTCCATGTCTTATCCTCTATATTTGCTGATTATTTTTTATGCGTTGAAACATGACCAATATTTAAGACAACGTTTGAAGCATCATTAAGAATAGGAAGCATAAAAAATGAGAGTCAAAAAGCCATGAGGCCCATGATGGTAAATAAATTAGTGCACAGAAAAATGAACATAAAAGTAATTAGTTTAAATTAATTAGAGTTTCACTAAAGTTTTTAAATAACAAATAAATGAGTTGATGTGTCATTAAAAGGAGTGCTGATGTGTCAAGTTTGTGAGACTCAACTGAATCTTTATATAATAGATTATTTCTAGACCGTTGCTCTATATATTCGCTGTTATTCACAAAGTTTATTCTAATTTATCTGTTTTTTAAATGAACGACGTTTGGCATGTATTCTCTTTGCCCATATCTTTGTTCCCTGTATTAATTGTAAATGTCTCTCTATTATTTTGTTTTTTTTGTGGCACAATTTGAAAACCAACTAGGTGTTTAGCTCGCACCTTGTGCGGGCGGAAATGTTTCATTAAAAATACTTACTCAAAATCGTTAATTTATTCGAAAATTTTTCTCAAAATCGCGTTGCGCGGGCGGGAACATCATCTTTTCTTTCAATTTCTTTTCGTCTTGTTCTTTCGATTTTTTTTTCTTCCTATTGTTCTTTATATAGTCTGTATTTTCCAATTTCTTATTCTTCTACATAAAATATTAAATAAACAGACTTTTTCTTTGTGTTTTTCTTCTTATTTTAATTTTACTCCTTCTTCGTATTTTTTCTACTATTTATTTTTGGAAGTTTGGAAGTTTTCTATATTTTCACATCTTTTATAGGCTTGACTATCTTTGTATAAACGATAAGTTTCAAAAAATCTTGTGGAGTGAAGCACAAAGATAACATAGACACATATTATCCGAGTATTCTAATATGAACTCTCCTCTTAAAACGAAGATGAAATATAGTTTGGAAGCTGAAACAAAGTCACTCTTAAAGTTGTTATTCTTTATTGCCTAAAAATAATCCCAAAATTATATATAAATCAAACAATTAAAACATGTTTTAATTTTTAATCATAAAATTTAGAACTGTATTCACTTCTTATATTTCGTTGAAAGAATAATCTTCTCATAATAAATTATTTATTATTTGAGACATATATTCTTCCAATTATTTTCTTAAAAAATATTAGATTCTTAAACAATTATACTTAATGAGATGACTCTCTCATAGGAGTTACTCACTTTCTCTTTGATCGTTATGTAAGGTACCTACTGGTATTATCTTGACTATTTTCTGGTTTTTAAAACTTTACCAATGTACTCTGTTATTGATATTTACATAATGAGATTATTTTTTCTATAAGGCGTTGAAAGAAGTAAAAATCTTTTAATTAGTGGAGTGATGCTATAGGTTTTTTTAAGGGAAAAAATATATTCTATATTTATCTTAACCAATAGCTTCTCAATACTATAACCTTACAATTTTGCACATATCCCTCCGAATTGTAAACCGAATACTTGGTATGATCCTTAATTTGGAAAATACCACTTGCAATAAAACCATACGGTTTTTTGCACCAATAATATAAATCTGAAGCTGAAAGATCTCTCACTTACCACTTGGATCTTTCTTAGACCCTTGTCAACCTTTTTCATTTGAAAGAAAATCTAGAGTCTGTTGTTGATTTGTGCTCTCATTGTGTTCCACATCAGCAAGACCATTCTCCAAAGCTTTCACGTGTTTTTCGAAGTAGGTTTGATTACATTAGTCAAATGAAATCATTGAAATTTTTGGATGGTTCATTAGTTCCGGAGACAAACTGTTCCAACTACATCTCTGCACAATGATGAAGCCTCTCCAAACCAGCTCGAGCTTCCCCTTGCAAATACTCGAAAAAGTTGTGTCTTTGCATGTTCATGATGAGCAAGGTAGTATCCATATGCAAATGTCCATTTCAAGACCCTCCTACATTCCATTATCTAATCCTAAAATCAACCACATAAATACCTTGATCCGTTTAAAAAAAATGTTGTAACAAAAGTCTCACTGAAAGTCTCATTACTAATATTCCTAAATTAGCATGATTGCAAGATTTTACCAATAACAGTCTTTAGTGAAATCACACTTTCTTTTCAACGATTCCATAAGATTTAACATGAACAATATAATTTTAAAACCCTGATTGGTCTAATTTTGTTTAAATTTAATCAATAATTTCGCATTTATATTCCATGCATATTATGCATGATCCTGGTTCACCTTGAATAACCATGTATTTCGCACGACCAAGAAAGTCTGGTTGGAGCAAGAGTCATGGGCTCATCGAAATCTTTATTCCAACGATTTCTTCAGCTTTTACTATAATTAGAGTGAAGAAGCAGAGCGATCAATTTGACTTGGCTTATAGAGAGATCAGTAGAAACTCGTTCAATATGGTCTCTTTTATGCTTGTGAATATTTTGTTTTGTTTTGCTACGATTTTATGCTTGTGAATATATTCTTCACTATAACTGGACATCACAATTTACAACGCTAAATCAGTATGATTAGCATCACTTTGATTCCTCAAAATTTAACTGAGATGAATAAACCCTAAACATGAAATCCAAACAGAATCTCAAGTCCGAAGCAAAATTATTTTTGGATAAACCAGACACATTCCAAAAACAGAAACAAAGTTGAGATAGAGGAGCATAAACAGTATGGGATCCGATCGATCATAGACTTATAGAGCAATATCGATGGAAATTAATCGCAAAGCTTAATACTCAATCCTCCTCATTCATCATGAACACAGACCCAAAGTTTTGAAACAAAAAAACCGTAATTCGAAAATTTTAATAAAGCAATACAACTCAAACGTCAAAACACAGAAACCATTGGTTGAAGAAGAAGTTCTGACTAATCGGAGATTAGGGCTAAAGTGAGAGCCTTGGGGCTTTCATATACAAAACCATATAATTTTATAGCATTAAAATATCCAATATTAATTTAATGGTAACAAAATTTGGTATAGTTAATTATAAATAAAACTTAATTTTAACCAATTAAAAGATATTAGTGATCTTTTAGTAAGGAACACAAAAATAATTGACCACGCTGAGATTGAATGAGAGGTCGTTAAAGCTAAAATTCACTTTGCTTTTAATATATACTACTATGATGATTAGTCACCTAAATTGAATAAGAGAGCTTATATCAAAAAATTTTACTTTGCATATAGTATATATGGTATGATTTTAATGTTTTTTTATTATATTCCAATTTTTAATAATTTTTGAAAATTTAAATGTTTTTTTA